GCAAACTTCCTGCCCAGCAATTTGTGAGATTTCACAAAGCTGGGGGATATGTGTACATCTGTTGCATGAAAACAAAACTGTAGGGGCGCCTGGGTGGCTCAGATGGTTAACTGTCTGCCTTCAGCTCGGGTCATGATCTCTCTGTCAAATAGATAAATGGAATCTGGCTCTGTGTAGCCCTGCATAACTAACTTAATCTCTCTCGGCCTCAGATTCCTCACCTCTAAAATGCTGGCAGGGTAGTTGTGAAGGTTAAATGAGATACTGTAGATGAAGTGCCAGGAATCTAGCAAATGCAGTGATGGAATATCCCTCCCCCTTCCTCTGCCTGGCTAACTTCATCTCAACATTTACCCTGAGCGTCACAGCCTCCGTGAAGCCCTCCCTGATCCTCCCGGGTACCCTGCACCCCTGCCTCGTCAGTCAGTCAGCCGGTGTTTCTCTCATAGCTCTTAAAATGTAAAATGGTGGCTGGCCACGTCATTGGTGCTTCCTCTGCATTTTGCGGGTCCGGAGGCCTGGGATGGCTGTCGATCACCTCATTGGCCCGAGCGCCGAGCAATACAGCAATGGGCACTTGCTACTGCGCGGCACGGCATTTCTGATAATGCGCAGCAATGTCTCCGCAAACCTCATTTTGAATAGTAATGCAAATGGAATCATATGAAGCCATCCTTTCTCCTTTTGGACTGTGGGCTCTTCTGAAAGCAAGATGACACCTTCTATAATCTAGGCACTTACAGTAAATACCTCTGAGAGATATAAAAATATTTGTGTAAAATATTTTGCATTTACCGGGAAGTTATAAATAAAGCAATCTGACCAGAAAGCCAAAGACCCCGCCCTCGCAAAAGCAGTGGAGCGTGGCCAGCTGCAGGCTCCCTGCCTGGTGCTTAGAAATGGAAATAGGGAATGAAAGGAGCCTCTCATCCCAGGAAGTGCTGGGGAAGAGACAGAGCTGCAATTGTATCCAACTTTTTATCTAAAAAAAGTAACACGGACAAAAGGAGGGTGATGTGGGAAAAAGCATGAAGAGCCCTTCTAGATTCAGGTATAACAGCTGATGCTTATGCCCTATGCAGTTACTCCTCGTAACCAGGGCAACCAAGATCCAGGCTATACTTGTATTGTACTGAATTTCTGTGCTGTTAGTTCATTTCTATTATGGGTCACGGGTAGGGAATTTGCGGTTGTTGGATTTGATGAAACACCCATTTGCAAAACTGCCTATATAAGGACGGGAAAAAAAATATTTTTCCTCTATCCCATCTAGGTTCTTGGCTGGGGCTCTGTAACAAAAGACAGATTAACAAAAGGAAAGCATTCACATTTATGTAATATAAATTCTACATGACACAGGAGACTTCATAAGGAAATGAAGCCCCAAAGAGAGTTAAACCGGTGTGCTTTTGTGGAAGGTCAGGCAGGAATGTGATAGAACGGAAGGGTATGAGCCAAGGGGAAAACCTAGAAAGTCCTCTTTGCTCAGATTCCCCTGTGTGCCTACCTCTGCAGAGATCAGGGATGCTCCTTTCCTTGGGTAGGAGGAGGGCACCTCTCAGTGGAGGGGCTTAGGACCTGCCTCAAGGGAGCAGGGGGAGGCAGAGAGTCCTCCACCTACAGGCCCTTACTTAGATTCCTTCAGCTTCTTCTGTATGAGAAGGTACCAGATTTTGGAGTAGCATTTCCTGAACCCCATCGCCAAGGACTCCGTCAACTGTAAAGATGCAGGGAGACCATCTGGTGTACTCTTGTTTGAAACCAGTCACATGACAATGGGACCATTGCTATGGCCACCTGACTGGATGTCTCTGCATCCATCCTGGCTTCCTTCCCCATCTAACTTAACAAAGCAGCCAGAGGGAACTTTCCTAAAGGCCACTGAAGTTGTCTCACTACCAACTCCCTCCCTTCAATGGCTTCCCATTGGGCTTGGAAAAAACCCACAGTCCTTATGATGATTGACAAGGGCCCTAATGAACCCAGTGGCTCTTGTGACTTCACCTCAGCTCTGGTCAGCTCCTGTCGTGCCTCCCCCCCCCCCCCCCCCCCGGACCTTGGGGCCATTGTACTCGCCATTTCTGTAACGGTGATTGTAAATTAAACAAAGCTCCTTTCCCCCAGAAGCAATTTTAAAGAAAAACACTTTCTTTTTAGTGGGTGAGACATAGAATGTGAAAGGATGATTATACTTAAAAATGTAATGCTGTCTCATTGGCTAAAAGAAAAAAAAAAAAACCCACACTGCTATTTGCCTATCTCTGGTTCCAAAAGTCACTGACAAAGTCTAAAGGAAATGAAAAAGACTACCCAGATTTTTACATTTTGGAGAGTGAAGGAATTTCCGTTTCAAATGCTTTTATTTGTCTGCAAATGAAGTTTGCACATTTCCAGCATAAAAACTTTTTTAAAACCCCACCACACACAAAAAACAAACAATGACACGAACACTTGGTTTTCATGTGATGTGCCCTTTTAGAACCCCTGAATAGTTTTTAAGATCATCCTAAGTCACATGAAACCAGTTTGTGAAACTTCAAGTTTTAGGTGACTTTGCAAGTTTCTCTTTAAAAGACTAGCATGTTACATCAAAATAGGCAGCCCTGGGAAACCACCAGGAGAAAAGATATCAAAATAGAATTCACACTCGATGGCCTCTGATTACTTCAAACCCATTTGAACACACGAACATATTCTAGTTTTAGGCACTGTTTGGGGAATTGTGTCAGGAGGCAGGTAAACTGTGTGTCTGGTTAAGCTTTCAGAGCTCTGACATAGGAAGTTAGGAACGGTGGGAGAAAAGAACTGGTGAAAATGTGTATAACTCCGAAGTAAACTTATTAAAACTGTAACCATTAACATTCGACAAGTTCTCAAAAGAGAACAAAATCAGCTATAATCACACAGAAGGTGTGTTGTGCTTAAATAATTGCACAGGTTGGTTCAACACTGCAAAAGCCTTAAAGAAGGAATTTCCTCTTCAATTCATTTATTAGAGAAATGTTGGTAGATTCAAAGACTCAGGCAATGGACGACCTCTGACAGATCAAGGCCTGTTTTTACATTAGCACAATTGGAACTTCAGACCTAAAAGGGTTGAGTATGGGACCCCCAATATGCCGTCCTGGCATGAGGATCATTCTGGGCTGAACACAAATGAGAAAAGGCAGACACGGAATGAGCTGCCTGAAAGCAGAACGTAAATTCTCCTTATGAATTCTGTACCAGGAAGAAGGTAACAACCTCCTCAGGATGGCAGCGAGAAGAGTCTACACAAACAAACCTTACTAAATAACCATTATGTTCATTAGTCCCCCCATATATTTACCCTCCCAGTTTGCTGGCCCTAAAAGCCTAAAGCCCCGTTCCTCTTGTTATTTCTCTACAAATGTATCATTATTTCTTAAGATGCTATTACACAAGCCCAAGTTCTAACCACCCATTTGAATTCTTCATCACTGAGTTTCTCCTGTATGTATCATGCCCGGCGTGTTAATGAACGGTTTTTCTCTCGTTAGTCTGTCTTTTGTCCGTCTAATTTGCAGGGTCCCAGCTACAGAGCCTAGGAGAGCTTTTATCCTCCCCTACGTATCTAAACTCACATGCCCTCGAGAACATGAAGACTCCCTAACATCAGAAACCAAATTTCATAAACACTTTATATACTCTGGGGGACTTGTGCAGAAAAAACAAAAAAACAAACAAATAAATAGGCAACTCCTCTGACTAGGCAAAAGGACTCGAAACAAAATTCTACCTGTGGGATTAGAGGATAATTTTCATGGTTCAAGGGAGAGACAAGTGAGAAAAGAGAGGGGAAAGTAACAAAGCCCTAGTTATCCAATGTTAGAGCCTAAAGACATTATTCATCTTGTCCCACATCGCCAGGAATACCTTTCTCAGAAGTCAATGTTGAAGCGGTCTTGGACGGTGAATTTGGAGGAAGACGGTGTGGGAGCAGTTCCAGCTGGGCTAGCTAAGTCACAGCACCCCTGGGGACCTGTTTCCTCAGGTGTAAAGTGTACAGTGACATTCTTTTCTTAGAGCCACGAGACCATCAAGTGAGAGCCTGTGTGTGAGTAGTTCTCAACTCTGTCTCAAAGTAACTTGAGGCATTAAAAAAGCCTGGGCTGCATCCCATGCATTCAGATTCAATTGTTCAGGGGAGCCCCCCCGCCTCGCCCCACCCCGCCCGAGCATCAGTGCGTTGTCAAATCTCCCCAGATGATCCTCATATGCAGCCACTGTTAAGGACTACTGGCCTACTGAGAAAGCAGCACTAAACTGCCTTGAACAGGATCACCCGGGGATCCAGGAGCATGAGGCCTGGGACTGTGCATTTCTAACAGGCTCTAGGGCCTGCTGAGCTGCTCTCAACCACACTCTGAGTACAGCAAAGGACTAAGTGGCCACAAAGCACTAAGCAGACAGTCATCCACTCTCTTCCCAAACGGTCAACTTTTAGTGATCATGGCGTGAACTTCAATGAACGACTTTCCTTCCTCTTAGGATTAAGAATATAGTAGGGGGAGGGGGCGCCTGGGTGGCTCAGTCAGTGAAGCATCTGCCTTTGGCTCGGGTCATGGTCCCAGGGTCCTGGGATCAAGCCCTGCATCAGGCTCCGTGCTCAGTGGGGAGCCTTGCTTCTCCCTCTCCCTGCCTTCTGCTTGTGCTCTCTCTCGCTATCTCCCTCTCTCTCGAATAAATAAAATAAAATTTTAAAGATTTTTATTTACTTATTGGAGAGAGAGCGAAAGTGACAGAGAATACAAAGGGAAAGGAAGAAGCAGGCTCGCTGCTGAGCAGGGAGCCCCATGCGGGGCTCAGTCCCAGGACTCTGGGACCACGGACCTGAGCCGAAGGTAGTCGCCTAACCAACTGAGCCACCAGGTGCCCCTAAAATAAAATCTTGGAAAAAAAAAAAAAGGATATAGTGCGTGTTAAGATTTTAAAACCAAGCACAAAAGGGTGGCAGCAAAAAAAAACCGGTGTCACTCCAGTTCTTGGTTAAGAAAACATTTATTTACCATCACAGGCAGACCCACTTGCTATGATACCACTGCTCCCCACATTCGTTACAGATCACATAGGTCATCATCTCTTCATCTGGATTTGAATTCCGCACCCAACTTGGCAGGAAAAGTGTTCCTCTGGCGATTACGGTGACCTTGCAATTGAACTGCTCACAGCGTCTGCATTTTATTTTCTTTGTCTGTGTGCCCTCAGTGGTGTGGGGAAGGCGATGCTCCTGTATGCCAGATTCCGTGTAGGAGGCTCTCAACTGCTTCAGTTCCTTGCTCGCCATCTCCAGCACCGTCATTTCGGCGAATTCTCTCGGAGACGTGGTCCCAGAGAGCAAGTTCCGTTGTAAGTGAGAATTTTGGGGGTTCTTCAGATTGGCAACTTTGCTTCTAACACAAGTTTTGTACTTTTTGAGGTTCTTCGAATGAAGGGTAAAAATGTGCCCTTCAATTTCTCTTGCAAAGTTTTGCCACAAATCAGCTTTGGGCTGATCTGTGCAAGAACTCGTTAAAGCTTCATAGAGAAGCTCTGTGCATTTAGCTCTCACAGGTACTGTGGGATCCAGCAACTCAGTGGATCTCTGGTCAGTGGATTCTGGGTCACCACCCCTGAAATGCTCCTCCCCGGGCTCCATCTGACTCGTGCTATTTTCAGGCACAAGTGATTCAATGGCTCCTGCAACATCGTGGGGTGATGAATTAGAACTGCAGCCGCCTGATATCTCATCCTGACTTGGGTCATGAGAAAGTCTGGAGTTTCTGCCCGTAGGGAATGATTCAGGGCTGTCCCTTGGTTTGAAGTGGAGATCCTTATAAAGAGCTTTCCATTCTGACAGCAAACGCTTGGCTTTCTTTTTCAAAGCCACCACAGGGCAGTTTTTGAGGACTCTGTACACAGCCCTGACCACGACGGTCTCCTGGAGATGCTCTTTAGTCACGTGAAGAGTCTCTAGCTCAGTAAGGTGGTTGCCAAGATCCTCAAAATTCCTTTTAGACATCAGATGCTCAATAAGGGAGGCTTTGGCAGCTACCTGCTTCTGGTCAGACATCTTTACAGCTGCAAAGAAAAGAGAAAAGAGGTTTCTGTTTCTTTAAGCTTGGGCTTAACAGTTGCAGCTTCCTGATAGTAGCAGAACGCTTTCTGCCAGTTACCTACGGGGCGTATTCTGAAAGTTATGTAACAGAAGTGGGCGTGACCTGTTAGAAAATGGAATCTGCAATGTGGTATGGTTCAATTTCAAAAGGCTGAGTCTGGGTAGTTGGGGGGAAAAAAAAGCACTGCAACCAGCTTCCGCATTAACGGTTGCTTCAAAGAAGCTTACTGGAAGAGCTCTAGAACTTTCTCCAATCAAATTTTCCAAATCAATGCTCTTTCCGGATCCCGATCGGTCAATTGCTTTGGATGGAATTTGGTGGTCATGTTGGGCATGAAATCATGCCAGTGTCAGCATGAACAGGGTAAGTCTGAGCAAGGCTGGACTGTTTACCCCCATATTCAGCTATATAGCTGAACTACTTGCTGATTTTATCATCTTTAAGTGGTATTTTTCTGAATAACAGAATGAGAAACAGGGCAATAAGGGAATGCTGTTTAGATGTCCCAAGGAATCTGAAGAAATTGTGAGACAGTATAGGTCGCAAGGCAGCCGGAACCAGATCTGATGGGCCCCAAGAGTCAACGGGCACTGTGCTGACATCCAAGTCTTCTGAAAAGCAGGGTAAGGGTTCATACTAAGCGATCCGGACCATTTACAACTTTGGACCAGCTAGTCCCTAGGCCACTTTGGTTCCATTAACTTTTCTGTTTAACTCTGAGGTGCAAAAAGTTGCTTGATGATTATCTCATCCTGGGCAGGTAAATATTTACTTTATCTAACCAGTCTATTTTTCTCTCCACATAATGCACATAACCTTGCTACCTAATACCCCTGGATCTACATCTGCCCATCTGGTCTAAATATGGACTTATGCATCTTGATAGCAGGGACCCTGTCTTTTCAAAAACTCATGGACTTCCGTTTCATAGCATTTTATATTAAATGCCCATTACTGGGGCACCTGGGTGGCTCAGTAGGTTGAGCATCTGATTCTTGGTTTTGGCTCAGGTCATGATCTCGGGGTCGTGGGATCGAGCCCCGTGTCAGGCTCTGCACTCAGCAGGGAGTCAGTCTGCTGGAGATTCTCTCCCTCTCCCTCTGCCCCTCCCCCTGCTCACACACACTCTCTCTAAATAAATAAAGTAAAATCTTAAAAAAAATGCCCATCACTAAGCACATAGTCTAGTAACACTGAAGCGAGCACAGAGACGATCAGTGCAGTCTTCTTAGAAACCATCTGACAAGTTCTGTGAAATGCAATGTCTTTTTCTTTTAGTCAGTGATTCCATTTCTATAAAATTACTTTAGGGAAGCAAGAAATGTGGAAGCTGTCCATGTAAGAATTTTCTTCCAACTCTGAAGAAACTGTAAGGTCCCAAATGGTTAAACTTGCACACAAATGTTCACAGCAGCGTTACTCTTAATAGCCAACAAGTGGAAACAACCCAAATGCCCATCAACTGGGGAAACAACATGTAGCCTATCCATACAATGGAATGGTATTTGGCAAAAAAAAAAAAAATCCCGTAAACCCCGTGAAATTCTTATATATATACTACAACATGGACGAGCTTTGAAAACACTATACTAAGTTAAAAACATAGAGGACCCCATATTGTATGATTCCATTTATATGAAATGTCCGGAATAGGCAAATCTATTTGGTGGTTGACTAGGGCTGGGGCAGAGGGATGCAGGGAACCAATGGGGTGGAATGAAAGGGGGGTGGCTGCCAACGGGTGCAGGGTTTTTCTTGGGGAAAGTGAACAAACTTCTCTAAAGTTGACTGTGGTGATGAACTGCACAACTGTAAATATATTAAAAATCACTGAAGTGTACACTTTGAGGAGGTGAACTGTAGGGTATATAAATTATATCTGAATAAAGTTGTTATTTAAAAACAGCATATAGGGACGTCTGGGTGGCTCAGTTGTTAAGCGTCTGCCTTCGGCTCAGGTCATGATCCCAGGGTCCTGGGATCGAGCCCCACATCGGGCTCCCTGCTCGGCGGGAAGCCTGCTTCTCCCTCTCCCTCGCCTGCCGCTCCCCTGCTGTGCTCTCTTGCAAATAAATAAATAAAATCTTTAAAAAAAATAAAAACAGCATATAGAGTCTGATCCAAATTTTATTTAAGAATCACATGTGAAGAGAAACGGTCAAAAACAAATACACAAACCTTTAGACAGTGACATTTTCTGAATGGCAAGATTTTAGATGATTTTTTGTTTGTTCTTTTATTCCTTCTCGTATTTTGTATGATGAGTATGTATTATTTTCATAACCGCAAAAGTGACTTGTCCAGTATCATTTCATGATAAACTCCACATATTTATAATGTTGGCCTATTGGAAAATGGCACGGTAAATGGATCAGTCTTCTACCTTCCCTCTGGAATCAGAATATCATGACGGTGCTACATGACATGTGGCTCTGCCTTCACATTAGCATTCACAATTTCCTGAGAAGTCTACTGCTGGGTCTAAACCAGTTGCATCTCCTCTCAAACAGGAAGAGTTAAGCACCCTGGGTCACAAATGTGAGGTTCCTGTGGGTGTTTCCCTGCTGGGCCAGCTCAGGGATGACCGAGACTGCGGGTCTGGCAGCTGTGCCACCAGAGGGGGCTGGTACGTGGACAACGTGGGCAGTCACTTGTGAGGCAGCAACTCAGGGTCTTAAGAGGCTTTTTTTTTTTTTTTTTTAAGATTTTATTCATTTATTTGACAGAGAGAGACACAGCGAGAGAGGGAACACAAGGAGGGGGAGTGGGAGAGGGAGAAGCAGGCTTCCCACCGAGCAGGGAGCCCGACGCAGGGCTCGATCCCAGGACCCTGGGATCATGACCTGAGCCGAAGGCAGATGCTGAACGGACTGAGCTGCCCAGGTGCCCTTAAGAGGCTATTTTTATCATTATCAAGAATCAGTACTTCAAGATCATTGTTTTACCTTTTTTACAATTCCAGACTGAAAACAGTGAAGGAGGTCTTCCTAAGGATCAGAGGCTCAGTAAACAAAGAAGAGGCAAGGTAAAAATGCAGAAAAATTAAAAATACATGGCCTCCATTGCTGAACTTTCTCTCAAAATTGTCTGCCTGACATCCTAGCATCTGGAGGAAGTCACGCAGCCAAGTCATCGTGATAAGGGTTCAAGCTGCTTAAGATACTTGAACCCTCCCCAACTTGTTGGGAAGTTTCCTAACAAAGAGGAAATACTCATCTTGCTTGCATTCCTCATCCATTCTAGAGGCACCGCTACCGAAGACATCAGGATTGAAGTTTGCCAGATGCTGGCAAGGTGGTTAGTAAGAGACAGGTCTAGAGTGCCCACAGGGAGGTTAGGCAATGTTTAACTCAGGTCAGAATTTCTCAACGGTCGGTCAGAGTCTCAAGGAGAGTCTGAAGGGGACTTTACAGCTTCGGAGCTTCAGAACGATGAGAACAGCAGTCTGTCTTACCAGCAAAACTTTCTCTTCACTTCTGTAAATCCACAGACGTTAATGTATTCACACATAAGCACTCTGCTCTTTATTTCATATGTCCTTTCATTTACCTCTCCTCTGTATTTCTTTTTCATTTCTAATTGTGGTAAAATACACACAGCATAAGACTTGCCATCTCAAACATTTTTTCCCCATCTTAAACATTTTAAAGCAGGGTTCAGTAGTGTTAAGTACATTCACGTTGTTGTGCAACCAACTCCCAGAACACTTTTCCTCTTGCAAACCAAACTTTGTACCCATGAAACAACAGCTCCCTGTTCCTTTCTGCCCCACAGCCCCTGGCAACCATCATTCTACTTTCTGTCTTGATGAATTTGACTACGTGCTGCACGTAAGTGGAATCATACAGTATTTGGCCTTTTGTGTCTGCCTTATTTCACTCAGCATAATGTCCTCAAAGTTCACTGGTGTTGTAGCCTGTGTCCTGGATTATTAATATTCCATTGTATGTATAGACCACGTGTTCCTTATCCATTCATCATAAACACTTGGGTTGCTTCTACCTTTTGGCTATTGTGAAGAAACGCTGCTATGAACATGGATATACAAATATCTCTTCGGGACCCTGCTTTCAGTGCTTTTGGGTAAATATCCAGAAGTGGGATTGCTGGGTCATATGGTAATTCTATCTGCAATTTTCTGAGGAACCGCCATACTGTTTTCCATCCTCCTCCATATGTCTAACAGCATTTAAATCCTGTCAAACCTTCTGTTCCCCCTGTGGGACAATGATGTGGATATAAAGCATTCATTGCCCTAGGAGATACTGTGAAAGCAACTGAGATATAAAATTTTGAGTATTGCCATAAGAAGACAAGGAAAGTTGTGTATCCAGTTTATAGCTCTACAGAGTTCATTCAATAAATAATTTATTACACATCTAAGTACACATTAGATGCTGAGCCTAAAGAGATCCTCTCTGCCTTGAGGGAGCTGACAGTCCACTGGAAGGAATACAGACAAGAAAGTGGCCACTTACAACACAGGGTGTCTACAAAGGATAGACACGGCTGCTAGAGGACACTCACAGGAGGAATGCTGGAGCCCAATCTGGGCTTCCTACCATCTGGCAGGTTCTAACTGCTTCTTCACTGCGTTCCTTCCGATTCACGGCACTTTGTCAGAGGGATCATCCTCTACTACAGAGCTCACCAAGATATCCCCTCAACTTCCCACTTAAAGCCCTTCAGAGGTGCCCCTGTGCTCTCAGGGTGGAGCCCCAAGGCCCTTGGCCAGGTGATAAAAGGCCCCCTTCCAGCCTCCTCCGTGACCCTCCTCCATGACCTCGCTGCCACCGACAGGCTCTGCCCATTTCACAGCTCCGTGCCTTTGTGTCAGTAGCTCCCTGGGCCCAGCCTAATTCTCACCATGGGTGGCTGTCCGTCCTGACTATAAACCTGAATCGGCTGGCGAAATTAAACAGCAAAAACAAAAACAACGCCAGGGCCTCGTCCCAGGCGGAAGCGATCAGAGTCCCTGAGGGCAGGCCTGGGTATCCTCCCAGCTGTCCCAGTGACTCTGATTTAAACCAGAGCTGCCACAACTGCCCTGTACACACGGGCACGAGGCCCTGCCGCGGCAGGACCGTCTCAGTTACGCTGCCACCCCCCGAAGACAGCTCCGGACCTGCTCCTAGACCAAATACGTAGAACCTCTCTGCTTTCAGACTCGGCCGGATGAGCCCCATTGGGAAATATTAAAAACACCTGCCGTGCACCGCCCACCTGAGAACCTTCTCTACAATGACAACTGGTGGTTGCAGTGTGTTAAGTGTCACGATGCACCCAATGCCCTGGACTCATTCCCTTCCTTACCTCTTAACAGCAGAAGGCAATGTACATTTATTGAAGTCCATGTGCCATACACATTCACGTCATCTCCATCCTCACAATGAGCCCGAGTCAGGTATATGGCTTATCTCCAACTTACAGATGAGGAAATCTGTTAAAAACAAAACAAAACAAAAAACCATCAAATAGTTGCAGTGGTTTTTTTTCATGGTGTGTATCACATTAAAAATTGTTTTATTGTCTGCCTTCCCCACAAGACCGTAAAAGAACGATGTCTGTTTCATGCACTGAGACATGCCTGGCCAGTGCTTACTGTTACTCAACAAGTGTTTTTTTGTTAAATGAGAAAAGAGCATCCAGAGTGCTCCCTCTCCTCTCTGCTCGTGCGCTTCATTCTTTTCAGTACAGACTAGCTTGCTTGTACCCACGGCACCGAAGCCCAGTGCCCCTCAGCTTCTTCCACGGGAGCCGACCTCATCTCAATTCTAGTTCAAAAAGTCATTTAAAATTAAAAAATAGTAATAATAAAGGCAGGAGCATGGTGCCCACTGTGGGCTAATCAAGTAGACTCCAGGAATCAAACGTTTGGGGATAAGGAGGGTCAAGAAGGTATAGTTCACAGAAGTGAGGGGTGTTGAGCATGTTCGGTAAGTTTCTTGCCCGTTCTGGGCCTCGATTTCCTCATCTACAAAATCGGGGAAATTCCACATCCTAGGATTAACATGGGAAATAAATGAGATAGTCCTTATAAACTCCTTAGAACCAGGCCTGTCACACAGTAAACCTGACTAACAATTACACAGGACTATAATGAAAAGATTTACATGACATGTATCTATCATACCAGGCGCTGTTCTAGAGCAAGGGATCGGCAAACTTTTCCTGTAAAAGGGCGGACAGTAAATATTTTCAGCTGTGCAGGCCATCCGATCTCTGTAGGGACTACTCAACTCCGCTGCTCTTTTGGCAGACGCAGCAGCCAGAGACAATACATAAAAGAATGAGTACGGCTTTGCTCCAATCAATCTTTTTTCAAAGACAGGCAGGCTGGATTTGGCTGCAGGCCCTAGTTTGCTGAGCCCTTTCTAAAGCAGTGCTATGCAACAGAAATCTAATGCAAGCCACAGATACAATTTAAAATTTTCTAGTAACCGCGTTAAAAAATGAACAGGTGAAATTAAAGACATTTTACCTAACCAGTGTATCCGAAATACTGCCATTTCAACATGGAATCGACAAAAACAAATTAGTGGTATTTTACATTCTCTTTTTCATTCTAATTCTCCAGAATTCACTGTTTGATATATCTCAGTTAGGACTAGGAACATTTCAAGTGTTCATTAGCCTGTGTAGCTAGTGGCTACCTATTGGACAACACAGTTCTAGAGCATATGCTAAAATGGGTAATGCTTACACACACCCCTATACCCCCAGCTTCTGAATACATATCAGAAAGAGTTTATACCGGGCCGGCAAGAGCAGGTCCTATATATCTGTTGACTGAATGCATATAAAAGCTCGCGAATATTAACTAATATGGGCAGGTTGCACACATCTGCCCACATCTGGCTTAAACCCCGGGGAGAAGGGAGATCAAAGAGAAATTCTGTTTCTGGTCATAAGCCACATACACTTCTCCAGCTACACAGGGAGGCCCTTCCTCCATGGAGAGAACTGATGCCACACGTTGGGGGGCCGCAGTTTCTCAACAGGCCCTCAACACTGCGCTAGGGCCCTTTCATGTTAGGACGGTCCCCAGCACAGGTGCAGCGAGTGGAAGGGACCAGCCCAAGGGCCCGCTCTGGCCCGGGTTCGGGTTCCGCAGGGTGGGGCAGGGCGACAAGCGAAGCCTGCTGCAAGCCGTCCCCGTGTGCCAGCCTGGCACCCAGCCCAGAAGCGGCGGCGGTCCCGAGAGATCTGCCCACCCCGGCGACTTCGGGTGAAGAGGAGCGAGGGCACGACTGGGCCTACCCGACCCAGGACGCACCGAGGGCACCCCCCGGGGCAGCGGTGGGCTTTTCAGAGCACCGGTGCGCAGAGATACCGGAGAACCCAACCCAGGGCGTCGCTCACCGAGATGCGCAGGAGCCCCGGAAACTCGGGAGACCTCCGCGTCGAGAGAGTTTCCGGCACGCGGGGCGGGACCACCAAGGCTCAACCAATCCAAGCCCGCAGACCAGAGAACGCTTTCCCGGGCCCCGGCGCATGCGTGCCAGGTAAATGGTGTCTGCGCAGAGCGACTAGCAGCGGCGAATCCGCCTCCGCCGCTGGCTGCGGGACGGCCCCTGGCCTGGCTGACGGTCTGGCGGCCGGGCCTGACTTGAAAGCAACTACCCCCAGTAATGCTTTTCAGCTGCAGAGTTTGTTGAACTATTCTACGGCGTACGCTTTCGGCTCTCATTCAAGACGTTGCTCAGCGGAATGTTGACAAAACTTTGGCCAAAAATGCGATATACTGAACGCAGTAATTAATTCGATAAGTTATTTATTGCACCCCTAACACACATCAGTTGATGTGAAAGTAGGAAACATTCATTAAGCGGCCTTGTGCGTCCTGCGCTTCTCACCTGTACACATTGTTTCCCTGCAAGGGTCCAATAAAATCAAAGTGATGGTAAAACTAGAGACTTTATTTTCAAAAGGCTATTGCTTTAAGATCGTTTCTATCACAAGAACAAAGTGCGACACCTATAAATCTAATTTATTGAATAGGCTCTTGGGGGCGCCTGGGTGGCCGCAGTCAGTTAAGCGTCTGCTTTGGGCTGGAGTCCTGATTTCGGGGTCCTGGGATCAAGCCCTGGTCAGGCTTCCTGCTCAGCAGGGAGTCTCTCTCTCTCCCTGCTCATTCTCTCTCTCAAACAAATAAAATCTTTGAAAAAAAAAGTAAATCTCTTGAATTGGTAGGCTGGCTGGGGCAATTACACGTACCCAATGCCAGCTTTTATATAATGGGGTCCAGGTGGTGGACTTTGGTGGATTTGGGCCACTCAGCTTTCAGCCCACCTTCTGAACAGCCAATTGGGTGCCGCCATCTGCCCTAGCCAGGGGCCAGCCACAGGAACAAGCTGGGCCCATTGCACACCCCTCCCTGGAATGTGAATTTTGAGCCTAGTAGTGTGGAGACTAGTATGGTGAGAGATCATTCCAGTAACGTTGGCATGCTGATCAGCAATGGCTTCTTTCCACAGCTCTGCTTCCAGCCCTGGAGCCCATTTCCAAGGCTGGATTGCTGGTCTTCCCATGCACCTGCACACTCCTGTTTCCTTACCATAACTTCCCTTTGCCATAAGTTAGCTGAGGTCTGGTTCTGTTGCTTGCTACCAGCAAACTCTAACTGACACAGCCCCCATCTTAATGTAGCTGTGTGATTTGAGGGCCATCTGAAGAGAATCCCTGATCGTTGATGGTGCTGAAACTACCTTCTTACTCGTTCCTTCATATTAAAGCACTGGAGCCTGCTATTCTAAAGAACAAATATCAGAAAGGTTACACTTGCCGCTCTTTATTCCCTACACCTGAGTTATCTTAGAAGGGTCGCCTCTCTTCACCTGTCAGAGAGACCAACAGAATGGGACAGAGGACAAGTAAATGTTGACCCGGGTAAATGGGAAAGAATGAAAGGTCCGCAAGATTGGATTCTTTGAGATCTCAGGAGTCACTGAATTGGAAGGTTCTAGGTATCCAGAAAAAGGGATGAGTTCACAGGACACGGGGGAAGGGAGAAATGGAGCAAAGCGGGAGCAGGAGATGCTTCAGACAGCCCTCTCTGCTGTTTGCCAGGTGGCAGCCACACACGGGCCACGTAGGCCGTCACAAGAGGGCACTGCCAGAGCTCTGAGAAGGGTCCAAAAACTGAATGCGAGCACCCAGTGCCTCACCTTCAGGAGGAGAGCTGTGTGACTGCAGCTTGGACCCATGAGGAAAAAGATTTGTAAAGGGACAGTGACAGCGATAAGAAACGGGGCTGTAGAAATTTTATGGGTGTCCAGGAAGACAAATAGATCTGCGGAAGGAGAGGGTTCAGGCTTTCTGAGCATCAGGCACATTTCCTCAGGCCTCAGCCCCCTCAAAATTCCAATGCCGTTGACCTCCCGCAACCCGCTTGATGTCCGGAGTCCATCGGTATCCTGGAGGGCAAGCCAGGGGACATCCCCAGTGTCAGAGTCATTCGTGGCTGGATTATACATGAATCTGTGGAACTTCAGTTACAGCCTGCCCGGTATCGAGAGCTGAATTCACTAGAGGGGTCCCAAGTCAACTGGCACAGTCAGATAGATGAAGCTCAGCTCGGGGGGGGGGGGGGGGGCGAGGGGGCTGGCTAATACTTTCACTTTCTAAAGTAAATTTTCATTGAAGTATAACCCATATGTAGAAATGCTGGTGCACAAATCCTAAGTGTACTGTCCAACGATTTTCACAAAGTGAACATGTCCATCCAAAAAGCATCAGGAAACAGCATGCCCAGGCCCCCAGACGTCCCCCCTCGTGCTTCCTCCTAGCACACCGCCCCCCCAGAGGGTAAACACAACCTCAATTTCTCCAGCATAGATTAATCCTGCCTCATCTTGAAGCTTACGTAGCCAGAGCCACACAGTATGTCCTTTCCGGTTTCTTTTGATCAATGCCATATTTTAAAATTCATCTGTCTTGCTGTGGGCAGCATTAGTTTCTTCATGCTCACTGATAGTATTTCATTGGATGACTATACCACAGTTTATGTTTCCATCCTACTCACAAGGGACATTATGGATATCTGAGTGGTCCCACTGTGACCATTACAAATAGTGCTTCTGTGCAGTTCTATTGAGTGTATACCTAGGAGTGGAATTCTGGGTTGGTAATACTGTTTGGGGCCATAAATGACACATGACCTTAAGTTGTTGATACAAAGTCTCTTGCATGACTTTTCTACCTGAAGTCTCTTGAAGTCTGTAAGGGAGGGACAGGAGAGACTTCCCTGGCCACAAGGAGGCTTTTCCCAACCCCTAGAGCAGAGAACTCCAGTGTCATTCAGTACCCCTCCCTGCTTATGACAAAGGCCCAGATGTGTTTTCAAAATCAACTTGGTGCTTTAGTCAGCCACTGACATTCAGCCCCAGAGAGGAGGCAAAAATGGGGGGGCAAAAATTGTGCCATTGTTATTTCAATGTGTTAATATAAACCCATGAGGCCGGAGGATATGGGACGTCCTGTGAATGTTACCTAGTCTATGCCAGCAAATAGGCAAGCACCACTCCGTGGTAATTTGGGCAGCATTCGGGGGTCTGTGCAAGGTTGAAGATCATAGTTTTGTTGAAGAACCAATCTGCACAATGTGTCATTTTTTGTAACACTGCTCAGCAGTCTGGTGATGGGATAGAGAAAAGAAAGCAGTGGGGTGATCAAGATTGGGGCTCTGTACAGTGGCCGTGGTGGAAGAACACAAGAGCGTGGGCCTTGGGGGGCAATGGCAAGAGTGTCTTTGAAGGGATGGCGGGCCTTAGAATCTAGGTTATGTTTTATTAGAGAGTCAAGATAGGAAGCCAAGAGATGGGAAGAAAATGAAAATGTCAAGGGAACAGAGCTTTCAAAGGAGAAATGTGAGATTAAGAGAAAGCCAGATAAACTAGACAGTTTGATGTTGGAGTTCAAGTTCAGAGGTGATGATCAAGTCCAAGGTAGTGGCCATGATGCAGTGACCAGGGAGATGATGGTAACTGGAATAGAGGTCAAAGAACTGTGGGGCTAGGACATCAGATGGGTCATTTGCATAGATGTCACATTGATCGATGACAATGGCAACGAAGGGCCGAGAGGACTGTAGAGCTGTTTAACTGTACCCTCAAGTGGCTTTTACATGGAAATAGAGAAATAGGAGATTGTGAACAAGAGTGGAGCAACCAGGCTGCCACCTTCAACCGGACCCTGTATGTGTGCAGCATGGAAGGATGAGCAGCTTTCATTTGCTAAGGCTGCAAGGGGAGAGGTCGCCCAGGAGAGAGCTCAGCTAAGGAAGAGGTCGTTGGCAGAATTAAGATGGAGGGGAGTTTGTTTACCAGACAATGCAGTGTATGTGATGGGGGAGAGGGCAGAAAGAGTAGAAGTTAGTATCCAGAGGAAGGACCCCGTGTGGGGAGGAGAGTAGGAGAGGGTGGATGACAAGGGGGTTTCATGTTGAGTGGTGGCCAGGGACAAGAGATATGCATCCTGGATAAATTATCTGACCTTAGGTTCCCCAAAGGAACCCAAGTATGACTCAGTGCTAGTGCAGGCTAGAGTTCCATGACACGATAGCCTGTTGACTAGAATTCAAAACAATATGTTGGTATTTAAGGGTCCAAAAAGTTAGTCCCCGAAGACTATGGTCATGTGGTGGAAATGGCAGGGGCAGCCCCCAGGGGTCAGGGAAGAGTAGTCATCACCTGAGTCTGGATTGTGCTTGGTTTGAAATCCTAGATAGGCCAAGAGAGGGTTCATTTTTTCTCTCACTTAATAAAATGTTGAACAGTGACCGGTTTGGGACAGGGACAGCAATGCCACAATGTCATCAAGGACCCAGGCTTCTTCCAGCTATGCACTCCTCCGTAAGGTATGGTCTTTGACTTCATGATCACAAGGTAGTTCAAAGAGCTCCTGCCTGCACAACCAACCACATTGCAAGAAGGAAGGAGGAGGAAAAGCAATGGCAAGAGAGGCTGCCAACTGACAACCCTCTTTAATGAGCCTTCCTGAAAGCCCCACCAATGACTTCAGTAGGCTCTCCATCTGAAAGAGGTTGGGAAGTGCTCTCCTACTCCTTCTAATTCAGCACATTCCACTCCTCACCCACCAAAAAAAAAAAAGAAAAGAAAAGAAAACACATAGACATTTATATGGTTATACAAGTAAGGAAAAAATTCAAGATGGATATTGGGTAGGCAACTAGAAATCTCTGCTACAGATATTAGAGAAAATGAAATACTATTATTCAATTCAACTTGACTCAGCCTTGTGCAATGATTTTCTACCCATATATAACATGATTCCCAGGCTTCCCTATTTCATTTCTGGTTCAACATCTCTTCCTCTAACCTGGATCACTGGGGCACTGGCCTTCATTGCAAGTTCTCCCTTCTATCTTCCTTTATTCTAAGCCATAACTGTGCTCTCGAATTTCCTTGGTCACTGCAGAAATAGAGGGTTTTTCTTCACATTCTATCACAGTATTAGAAACCACCTGTAGGCTGATTTGA